AACAACACAGGGATAAGTCTACAGGTTTCTGTGGGCCATGTGGGAAAGCTCATGCCTAGATAGTCCTGAACCCACTCAAAGCTGTAAGTTCCTAGGACAGAGATGTGCTTCCAGGTTAGGCTCTACAGTACACTCCCTTCTAGAAGGCATGTGGATCCGTGAGCTCTGCCTTTCCTGTGGATTAGAGGTGAGCTGTGCCACCCTGCCCACTGCCATATCTTACGGGAAACTTCACAGATGAGAGCAGGTTATGGGTGCTGTGGGTAACTTCCCGGTCCCAACCTCACCTCCAACTACCACATGAAGACCTTGTCTTGCTAACAAAATGTTACCTTAAAATTTACTGCTTGATCAATGTCACCATGGCAACCCGAAGACAAAGCTTGTGGGGCTCCAAAGCAGGGAGCCAGGTAACTGTGTACATAAACGAGACCTATGGGGTTTGACAAATTACAGACATACTACTTTTATGACTCACAGACTGGAATAGGATCAAAGAATAACTACTATCATATTCCTGTCAGGTGCCTGGGCTGTAGCAGTTCTACAGCGGGTGAGATTCCAAGCCCCTGTTTAGAAAGAGGCAGGCATTCTGAGTGCCTGACCTCCCATTGGAGAAAGGCCTCTGGGAGAGCTGTCAGCCCCGGCATCTGCCACCTGCCTGGTTTCTGGTCTCACACAAAGGAAAACCTCGGATTATTCTCACACTGGTTGGCATTTGAATCTGTCAGCTCCAGGCCCACGTTTCACACAGTTCTGGCTTTTCATTCAAATGTGGTTTCCTTATTATTTTAAATGAATTCAAAAGTGGCTATTCCTTTAGGTCCTTAACTACAATGCTTTGCCCATGGTTTGGGGGTTGATCTTAGTAGCTGAGCTACGTGTGTATGAAGTTTAGGGCTAAGATTATCTCATAAAGCAAGTGATGATAGTGTCTGTCTCTAAAAACTCAGCAAAGTCTTCTAATCTCACAGGGAGTGGAGGAAACAGAGATTTAGGGCCACTGTGTGCCACTGGGATTCCTTGAGTAAAGGAACTTAAGACACTGTCTTAATATGCATTGATTGAATGAGTTACTGAATGAAGGACAATATACATGCAGCATAGGAAAAGACAATTTCTAAAGAGCCTTACTGGCAAGTGTCCATGCCCAGTGGTTGTGCTCACCTCCCTAACACCTGCTCACATCTTCCCCCCTCCCAGTGTTCCCCTACATTTTCTGACCATGATTTTTATAGTATCGATCCAGAAGTGGATGCTGGTCAGCTTAGGAAAGTTAGCAGTTACCAACACCCTGACCACAGAGAGGAAGTCAGGAGTGGAATGTGAGGTCAATGAGGGCTGAAATTCAATTCTGATGCTTTGCCTGAAGGCTTCATCGGATGCTCTTTTTGCCTGCAGTTTCCCAAACAGTGCCAGTACCCACGGTGGTCCTGGGTTGTCTGGGGGTGACATGGGAGGAACACATTACAATTTGGCCCTAGGAAAGTAAAACCAAAAAGGAAGATGGAGGAGTGGACAGGGTCATATCCAAAGTCAGTGTCTCTGGCCTTTCTAAAGTCAGTTCATGTCACTAATCAGACTGGACTAATCTGTTAATTTGCAGCCCAGAAAGAACATTATAGTTAGCAATAAGCCAAGAACAAGCTTCTTAAAGTCAATCTTCAGGAGGAGACTAAGTTTTTGTTAGGCATGACATCCAAACCGGGTTTGATGCTTCTTAACAACCTCAAATAAGTAAAAATAATGGCAAACACTTGTAACTGACAACAAGGATCATTGTTTTCATATGACAGGCTTAGGTCTTATTTCTCACTAGCCGATGAGTCAGAGGTAGATGTGGGCCATATTATTGTCATTTTCAATTTTGAGCATTTACCATTAGAAATAGCAGAAGGGATGATGGTTGTTTGCTTAAGTGATGAAAACGCCGGGAGTCTGATGGAGCAGTGTGAGTCTGACAACCATGAGGTGCTCCACAAGGGCACCAACACCTACCGCAAAGAACTCCCTGATCCACAAGAACCAGGAACCTTTCTTTTTAGGGATGTTCTGTAGGGCTTTGAGCAACATAGCTTTGCTGTCCTGTGTGTCAAATGTCCTTCATTTCTGTAAAATTATTCACTTGGATGTAGTGAGGAGCTGCAGACAGGCCTGCTTTTCGTCCTGCCCGGCTCCCACACAGCTAGCTTAGCCCTGGAAATAACAACACACAAATTGTATTCATTTAAACACTGCCTGGCCCATTATCTCTAGAGAGTAGTTACTGGCTAACTCTCACATCTTGATTAACCCATCTCTAATAATCTGCATAGCACCACGAGGTGGTGACTTACCGAAAAAGATTTAGCATGTCTGACCTGGTGGCTGGTTCCATGGCGTCTGCCTCATTGCCCTCTTCCTAACATTCAGTTCTGCTTACTCCGTCTACCTAATTTTCTGTCCTATCAAAGGGCCAAGACAGTCTCTTTATTAACCAATAAAAATAACACATAGACAAAAGACCTACCTACATCACTTGGAGACTCTGAATAATAAATGCCTATTAGACTGATTATAATAAAGAACTTTGCCTATGCCACTAAATTTGTATTAAACAGCCCAAACTATCCCCTCTTCAAGTAAGATTTTATGATTTGAGATCCAAAATCAAAATTTCAACGTACTACACCAGGGTAAAATGGGTGTTGTAGACACATAATTAGCAAGGCTCTTCCGAGCTTCCATAGGATATGCAAGCGTCTTTAAAATATGAATTGGTTGGCCTAAGGTCACTCAGTAAAGGCGGAGATGAATTTGAGCCAATATCATGTATTTCAGTAAAGCTCCCAGTAGTGGCATTTGCTCAACAAATATTTATTGGATTGTTAATGGGAGCCAGGCAGTGTACGATGCCCGGTAACTCAAGGAGCACCCACCATCTCTTCCCAGGGATATTTTGTTGATTTACTGTCAGAGTACTTCACACTCCATTAGGAAACAAACAAACAAAAACATCCAATTACGAAGTCATTAGCACTGCCTTTTAGAATCGAAGCTGGGAAAGCACAGTCCTCGATTGGAAGGGCCCTTAGAGACCCACATCGCCCCTAACTTCACAGATGGGGGAACAGGCTCATGTAATAAACAATGAGGTGGCCCTGCACGTGCCTGCACAGAAAGGCAAGGGCTATATATCTGGGAGGAGAAAAAAGTTGAAGAGTGCCAAGGGCAATGAAATCCATTAGACAGAAAGAAAGGACAAAGGCCTCGGTACCCGCCAAGTTTCTCAATTTTTAAACATGGGAGGCATATGTCTTACAGGATGACAGAAAGCACACACTGGGAAGGGGAAGGGGACAGCACTATGAGGCAGGGGCTGGTTTTTGCATTATGGGAAATTCCAACTCTCTGATTAACACGTGTTTTATGTGTGTGGTGTATGTGTGCACATGTGTGTGCAATGTATAGAGACCAGAGGTCCATATCTAATTTCTTCCTTGGTCACTCTACAGCTTAGTTTTTGAGACAGAGCTTCTTAAGTGAACCTGGAGCTCATGGATGAGGCTAGGCTGGCTAGCCAGCAGGCCCTGGGAATCCTCCTGTCTCCACCCTGGTGCTAGGATTAGAGGCATGTGCGACATTGCTTTTGCATAGGCACAAATTCCGAATTCAGGTTCTCATGCTTATGAGGCCAGCATTGTCCTCACTGAGCCATCTCCTGACTCCACTTAATGCACTTCTATATATTCATAACAAATATGTGCATATGTGTGTATGTATAATGTACACACACCCTCTAATCATTTTATGATAGGAGGACATGCTGAGAAATGTTTGTTAGGCAATGTTTGCTTATGTATACATCAGAGTATACTTATACAAACCTAGATGGTCCAGCCAATCATGCATGCACATGTGCTATATGGCCCATGCTGATGATATATGTTGTCATAGGTCCAGTAAATTTTTGGTGAAGGTGCCACTATGTGACATATAACTACAATGATAAGCAGAAAAATACTTAGAGAGAAAATCTGAGACTTTAATTATTGAGACAGAGTCTCATTATGTAGACCTTGCTGTTCTGGAACTCACTGTATAGACAAGACTGGCCTAGAACTTAAAGAGGTGCACCTGCCTTTACCTCCAGAGTGCTAGGATCACAGGTATACATCACTGTGTGTTCAGTTTAAAATTTTAAACCAGTAGAAAAGAAGTCCTGAATGCTTGCTTGCAGCCTACGAGTTGGCTTGCCTCTGGGCACCCAGACTTTACTTCTGAATGCCCCCCACACCTTTTGGAAATGCCTCTGCCTTTGCTGAGCTATGGTTTCCTTACAGAGGAGGCAGAGATAACAGCAGTGCCAGCCTGCTGGATTGTTCTGAGAATCTGAGAGTTAGCAGCTCAAAGCCCAGGGCAGGTCCTCAGTGGTCAGCAGCAGCAGCAATAGTGACAGCCGCACTACCTAGCAATGAGCCTGGAGGAACACCTGTCCCAGCCGTGGTGGGCTCCTTCCTGCCACAGTCCGTTCTTCTCCTAACAGAGAATTCTGAGAGAGACACATGACGCCAGGAGAGATAGTGTGTGAGGTAATGGCCATTGCCTGCCTTCATGACGGGAGCTGCTGGGTGGCTGATGCTCAGACAAGATCTAAGCTTCTAAAGAGTCAGACCATCTTCACTGTGTGTTCATTCTTCAACAGTTCACGTCAAATGATAGTCCAGCCCCGGAGTGATGGGCAAAGAGCCCAACTCATGGGAAGTCAGAAGGTCCCCTCCCCTCAGGAGCAGTCCTAAAATGGGTCACACAGGCCAGTGGTTGTTAAAGGTTCTGGCTGGGGACAAGTGCAGAGTTCACTTTCTCTCCCGGGTATCTCTCCTCAGTGAAAAGTAGAGCTAGGGCTCGGGGAGGGGGGGCTGCTTATGGGGACAACACATGTGCACTGCACCCCAGTAGGATCATGTAAGAAGGCAGACAGGATAAAGACTTGCAGGGATTTGGGTGTCGTTGGTACTCACAGTATGATTTCCATATCGGAGGCTGATATTCCTCAGCATCTAGAATGAAGAGAGAGATCACGTCAGACTGCATGTCAACCTGCCAATGCATGTCTTCCCTAGAGGAGGGACAGCCTGTCAGCTGGACTCACATTCCAACCCCAGGGGCCTCTTGGCCCATGAACAGAGTCGTTCCAGGCACAGAGGCGGAACATTGTGGGTAACTTGTGGGCCCAACAACAATATCTTTGGATCACTACTGTGACAGAATAAACAACTTAACAGCTTTCAGAATTCAGTAAATAATAATAATAATAAAAGATTTTAAAGTAAGTAACTCGATTGTGCTTGCTAGTGATCCTTTCAAAATACATTTACTCAACTTGGCATAATAAATGCATAATTTATCTCAGTCTCCAGCCAAACTTTTAGTCAATTTATTAAGGTTTGAGGGCAGAATGCAAAGTGGCGAGCATGCAATATCAGATGTGGAAACTTGTGTGGCCAAAATCCCCGCCACTCCTAAACTCCTGGCCCTGACATTAGAGGCATTGATGATGCTCTTGGGATTGCATTAACTCCTTGAATTAATGTCAATATGTGATCTAGAATATTTCCAGAAGCCTCACAGCAAATACAAGTGTCGGATGAGAGCATTACAGGAGTGGATGAGTTGTTCTTCATCATCCTCAGAAACAAGCAAGCGGAGGCAATGGCTGCTGCCTCAGCTCCTGGCCTTTGTGGCATACCATTCTCCCTTACGGTTAGTGTCCTGTGCATTCACAGCTGAGGCTAATGAAGCCCTTGTCAGCCTCAACAGCCAGGGCAGGAGAGTCAGGTCCAGGATACATGTGGCTCAGAAGGAAGCTTGAGTTTTCTTTTCTTTTTTTCCTTTTTCTTTTTTTTCTTTCTTTCTTTCTTTCTTTCTTTCTTTCTTTCTTTCTTTCTTTCTTTCTTTTTTTTTTTGAGACAGTGTTTCTCTGTGTAACACTTTATAGATCAGGCTGGCCTCAAACTCACAGAGATCTACCCGCCTCTGCCTACCGAATGCTGGGACTAAAGGCACGCACTACCAGCTTTCTAATTTAGCATCTTTAGGCACATAAGCCCCGCGGTGTGCTCCCCATTCCCACTCCCAGCTGCTCGGTCCTGTCCCTATCCTTGGGCTGCTGTCCTGTTAGAACTTTCCTAATTTTGGAAGGAATTAACATCTGAGAAAGTTTTTATCTCTGAGAAACACACGTGTTATCTGTTGATATATACCAATCCCAAAGTGATCAACTTTCCCCTGAAATCCTACTCAGATATGCTTGTTTAGCTTAACATTTTATTTTAGAATAAATATCTTGTCCCTTAGGCTCATTACCTCACAGGCTCAAAGGTCATTGTGTACCCTTTAGAACATGGGTGCATTAGAGTACGGTGCATTGATGGTTGCTACTGTGACCAGAGAAACACTGGCATTGGCTCTTTAAATATTTTTGCATATTTATTTATTTATTTATTCATTCATTCATTCTATGTGTTTGTTTTACCTGTATGTGTATGTGTGCATCACATGTGTGCCTAGTGTTTACATAGGTCAGAAGAGGGTGTCAAATCCCCCATTATGGATGACTGTTAGCCACCATGTGCATGCTGAGAATCGAACCCAGGACCTCTGTAAGACTAACCAGTACTCTAAACCCCTGAGCCATCTCCCCAGCCCGCTGGCATTAACTCTTAATACCTGTGCCAAAGTAAGAAATAGTGTCTCATAATAATGAGCTGTTAGTCTAAATCGCTGGTTCATTTCATCCTCTTTGCAAAATGAATCAATGTTAAACATTAGCAGGAATGTTTATAAAAGACCTCTTTAAAACCAAACAAACCAACTTGCTGAGTTTACAATAAAATTCTTAACCATCCATCCCATGCCGCTTCCCCAGAAAAGCCAGGCCCTATATGCTTGAATGTGGATCTCCAAAAATAGTTTTCAAAGATAAATAAAAATCAACACAGGCAAGCACACACACATATTTGAGCATGGACAGAAACATACACACGGGTACATATATTAGAAATGAAATGAGACGCTACCTAAGACGTCACAGGTAGGGAGAAAAATGATCTACTTATAACCTCTTCTTATTTCAGGTGAGATTATTCCATGAGCTAAGTATAACCCCCAGGCTAGAGGTGGTCAAGATCGATCAGGACCTCCACACTACCTTCTGTGGACTGAAGGAAGGTTCTGAGGCAGCAGCAAGTAGCGCCCTTGTTTGGATACAGTCCTGAGCTACGCTTAGATCTAAGATGTTCTTACCTCATGCCTGTTTAAATTAGACAAGCTCACTATGAATATCATCTTGCCCTAAGAACAACCTACAATGGTTTTTCATGAGACGCAGCAGTCCCATTAACGCCCACGCAGGCTGCCCTACAAGTGCTGGGAACCGTTTTCCTTTGTGCTTGCTCCCTGAGGTCAGCACAGCACAGAGATGAAGAAATTAATCTGCCCAAAGAAATGGAGAACCACAACGGCCCCTGGTCCAGAACCCGCCAACATCTTCCCTCTCTGTGTGGAATAGTCTTCCCTGTGGCGTGTGCTTGCCTGTTCTAGCCAGAGGCTGCCCCCTCTGAGTCTACTGCATGCATTTCCGCATTCCACAGCTCACCCTGCCATACAAGCCTCTGTGTTCTTAACACAAATAATGCCTTTCCAAGTCTGTGCCTTTGCTGTGTGAACTATCTTCATAAAATGCTCACTAATAGGTCTTGGCATGGCTCATTTGTCCCATCATGTAGGCCTCAGCCCAAATGTCACCTCCTAGGGGACTTGCCCTTAACCCAGTCCCTCTCATATCATGCAGCTTGGTTTTCTTCATAGCTTCTGTTACCATAGAGATTATTTATTGATTGGTTTTTTTTTTATGACTGGTCTCGCCCCACTATTTGTCAAACTCCATTAAAGCAGGAGCATTGGCTCACTTACTTTGGCATTACCAGCCCTTAGCAGGTGCCAGCATATACCAGGCCTTCAGACACCAACCAGAGAGGCACTAGGAGGACAGTGGTGAGCACAGATGCCTTCCCATACCTAAAACGAAAACGTGCTAAATAAATGAAGACATTTATGAGACCAGGGAGGTGAGGTCTGCCTATAATCCAAAACCAGAGGCAGCTGAAGGTGTCTATGGGTTTCAGGCTGATCTGCTCTATACAGTGAGCTCCAGGTCCGCCATGGCAAGGCAGTGAGACACCATCTAAAGGATCTATGTGTTTCCTGCTGCTCTGCCTTCTGCAGACAAGCATTGCCGAGCGACGCAAAACACACGGGTTCTTTCTGTCTCCTACCCTGAGTGCTGGGGTGTCATGGGGATTCACTAAGAGTGCTTATGAGGTGCCCCTAAGAGAGAACCACGCTCTGCATAAAGTCCCTGATGTGGCGGGCTGCTATTACTGTGTCACTGTGATGTTGCCCTGTCCCGACTCTTCCCAGGTGGCTCACTGCTATTGTCTTCGCCTCCCCACGGCAGCCACTGACTGTCTCCATTTCCTCAAACCTGGAGCCTGTAATTAAGTTCCAGGGCTGTTGTCATGGAAGTTTCTTCTCTCATATAAAAGAATGCAAATTGAGAGACCATTTGTCATGCTTCGGTGGAACGACTACAATTACCTTGGCCTTCGAGACCTGTTTCACGAACCACGACAGTACACTTCTCAGGGGCCAGGGTCAAGGGTCAAATCACAGAATAATTTTAATATGTCGTAACAAGTCCTGAGCTGCCTCCAACAGCACCTCACTAACAGTAAAGCTATCTGCACTGGCTGCTCCCACTCCGTGTCTTTTTCTCTTTGGTGACGGACTTCACTCTTGGGTTGGCAGACGTTTCACGTGACCTTTTCCTTTCACAGATAAGTTCTCGGGAGTCTCATGAAGCTGTTCTGACCCTCCTGTACTGCTGGGATTACAGGTATTAACTACTACACTAGTTTACGTCGTGTTGGGGATTGAATCCAGGGCCTCCAATACGCTAAAAAAGCACTTTGCCGACTTAGCTACATCTTACCCCACTTTCCCTTTAAAGCGTGGGGTAGACCTGTGAGGTCATGTAGGTCTCCTTCATTACCTGGAAAATGGGTGAAACGGGACAACGAGACACACAACTATTAAATCGCTTCCTCAAGGTTATAAAACAAGTGGGCATTGGTCTTCAGGACCGGGATGTATTATTCATTCCAGTCAGACAGTCCCTCCAATTACATATATTGAAGTTAAGAAAATGACATTATCATATAACAGATTTATTAGTTTGATTTTGGGGAGGCTTAAAAGAAAAAAATGAGTGCAAAACTTCCCACTGATTCAGGGTGGGACACTCCGGGATCTATGCATACTTTCCATGGCCTGTGGTTTAGGTGACAGTCTCTGGGGTGAGCCCATCTAGATTCAACACCCTACTCTGTCCTTCACTGTGAGACCTCAGGCACATTATCTAATCTTTCTGGGATTCATCTCTTCAACCTATCAAACAGGAGGAAGAATACTCCCCAACACAAAGCATTACCATGAAGAGTTCGTATATATGAGAGATTAATCTGCAGAGAGAAAACAAGTATGTTTGAGGTCAGTATCACCAGGGAAGAAACTGAGACACACACACACACACACACACACACACACACACACACACACACACACA